AGCACCATCACACATCGAGATTTCACTCATTCTGTGAAATACAGCTTTTCAGCATTGGCTAAGTTAATTGACACATTTGGGTTTTTTTTTTAAATAACATTTTTCAGTTCCCAGACACTACTTTCAATTTTACCGACTTTGGTCTTACTTTGTCTCCTCTGTTTTGACTGAAGCCAAATTTCTCAACATCTGTTCAGTGGATTTCAGTAACTGCAGTGCAGGTGGACATATTCCTGCTTCTCCTGGATGAATTAATTTAGGTTGATAACCTCCCTTTTGATAGAGAATTATTTTTATTCTCTGTCATTAGTCAAATAGTTTGGTTAATGACTAGTTTATATACAGTGTAAAAGTCTTGAAGCACCCCTAGTTTCTTTATAATTGCTCCCAAGGAGCCACAATGTTTTGAAAATTGGTCTTCAGCAATAGTTTTTCAGGTTTTTGGAAAGTAAGTCAGTTTTTCTTTGAATGTTGACTGCTTTTTTGTTTTCGGTTATCTTTCGTTCAGTTCTTAAGCCCGACCATTTTCAGAAGAATGTTTTTTTGTTTTTTTAAGCCACACTGACCTATGACTCATTCAAGCATAAAAAGACACCTAACTCAAGGGATAAACCAGTGTTGTGTCTACACAAAGCAGACAACTTAGCAAAGAGTCCTTTGGCCCTTTCACAAAAACACAGATTTATTTCCCATCACTTTAGTGGAATTTATAAAAAGTGCCAAAGTCAACAGAGTTTGAGTGCCATAAAATTGCATTTTTGCACCAACAAGGTGATTCCAAGTGAGCTATCCCATATGGAAAAGAAATAGAAAAGACTTGCATCAGATGTGGCCTACTTCATATAGTGAATCATATAAGGCTTATATGATTTACTCATGAAAGTGGCCACTTTCATAGATTGTTTTAGTAAGTATCCAAAACATACAAGTTTCATTTATATAATTTTTCTAGGGATCTTATGTCTGTTTTCACTCTTGTATGCTTTTCATACAAGTTTCACACAAGACAGACACAAACTTTATAAGATTTATATGTATCTTCTCCATATGGGATTATCCAAATTGTTTCACAACTTGGCATAGTGTGCAGTGTGTCCTTAAAACATGTGAGGAAACTGGAGAAGTGGAAGTCAAAAAAGAAGTATCAGACCTAAAGAAAAGCCCTACCAGACACCTGAGAGATACATCTGGCTCCATACATATTGGTTCAAACCAATATGTATGGCCAGTATGTATGGAGGAAATGAGTAGACAGGAGTAAGCATCTGCAACCATCTGAGAAACACAGTGGAGCCTCTGTCATGGGTTGGGGTTGCATTTCAGTCAGTAGTGTTGGGGATCTTGTCAAATTTCATGGCATTATGAATGCAGAAAAGTTCTGTCAGATTTTGATCAACCATGCAGTACAAATGGAAAATGTCTGATTGGCAACAGCCTCATTTTTCAGCATGACAATGATCCTACACACACCTTGCCAGTGCATTAAAAGCATACTTGGATAGAAAAACATACAGTAAAACACAATCAGTCATGGATTGTCTTTGCCTGAACTCAGAGGTCAAAATTAGTAACAGAACACAAAGCAGCCAACATCCAAAGTGGAGCTCTGAAATGTTCTTTAAGAAGCCTGGAGAACCATTCCTAAAGACTGCGTGCTTATGTCATTTATTTCTATGTATGTTTTCATACTTCAGTATATTTCTGAACCTATATCACATTATCCAAGCAAAAAATAAAGAAATGAGTGATGGCTCAAAACATTTGCACAGCACTGTAAAAAAATAGCATCCCCATTAAACATACATGTGCTTTGTGTTTACTGCTTTGTGTTTCCTCTGGGTATTCCAACTCCCTCTCAGAGACAGTGTAAGGAAGTCCTACTCTCCAGCCATATGGTTTTGGGGGCCAAGTGGTAAAGAAAGTTGATAGATGGATGTATTGTGAGCATGTTAACATATTGTTACTAGCGTATTAGGTACATTTACTTTTTATTGTCCAGATAGCACCAGTATATCTATAACTCTCTACGTTGTACAAACGTTGAGAGTTGTCTGTGCTCCGTGTCCACTTCACCGTGTGTTTATAACTGCCACATTTGCTTATTTCCCTAAGCTCCCAGCTAACTTTGACACAGAAGCAGCTCTCTTGAAGTTTCCTGTGCTCTATGAAGAAAGCATGAACACAGTCCTTGTCCAAGAGATGGAGCGCTACAACACGTATGAACAGACAGCTCTCCACCCTGTTTTAAGCTATATAACCATTGCAACCATTTTTCTTTCATGACTTAACTGCTGTCTTTGCTCTCTCAGGTTGTGTAGTTTGATTCGTATCAGCCTGCAGAATTTGCTGAAGGCTATTAAGGGATTGGTGGTGATGGATGCAGAGCTGGAGGCAGTTGCAGGCAGTTTGGTGGTTGGAAAAGTGCCAGAGAAATGGGCCAAGCGCTCTTACCCCAGCCTCAAACCCTTGGGCAGTTACATTAATGACTTTCTGTCAAGGCTCAAGTTTTTGCAGGTAAGACTAGTGAGCAAAAGTGATTTGAATGAGCAGTTTCAACTCGGCATATCAAAGCTTTGTGCACCTTTTCAGTCTCATTATATTTTCACTTTATTTTGTGTGCCTGTAGGTTTGGTTTAACACCAGCAAGCCCAATGTGTTCTGGCTGTCTGGCTTCTTCTTCACCCAGGCCTTTCTAACTGGGGCCATGCAGAACTATGCCAGGAAATACCACATCCCCATTGACCTGCTGAGCTTCGAATTTAAGGTCTGGAGACTCACACTTTTGGATCTCTCTTCACATGTAAAGATCTTATCATAGCCCTTAGACATTACTAATTAGTGGTTTGTCGTTTATGATTTTATCTTACAGGTCCTTCCTTTTGACGAGATACAAACAGCGCCTGAAGATGGTGTTTACATTAATGGACTGTTTCTTGATGGAGCTCGGTGGGACAAAGAAAGGTACATGCTCACAGCAGCGTTAGGAATACAATATTGACTATATGCTTATAGCAGTATAGCTTATAAGCTATTACTCTGCAGGAAAAAAGTCATTCACTGTACTTAAGCACACATTTGAGCATTTAATGAAAATATTCTACTTCATGTTGCTTTATATTACATTTCAAAATTAAATATTTATAATACTTTTTATTGGGCTAAATTTATATTTTTTAATATTGGCCCTTTACTTGTAATGGGGATTTTTTTTAATATATATACAGGATTTATATAGGATTTCTTTTTACTTCGTTCATCACTAGTGAAATATAGGAAGACCTGATAAGGATGGGTTTGTTTGTCTCTCTCTATTATCAGTGGAGTTCTGGCTGAGCAGTACCCCAAAGTCCTCTTTGACTCAATGCCAATCATCTGGGTAAAACCCAGTAAGTATTGCCTGACTTTGTGCACTTCTAGAGCTGGTGTTTCAGATCTGCAACAATCTGGATGCAATTAATGTTTTCAGATATCTCTTTCAAGTACATAATTGCTTGTTTCCTTGTATTATTTTATCACCATCTGTCTCCCAATTTTCTGTGTTCCTTTGCTTTCATTTCTGCCCAACAGCTCAAAAGAACAGCGTCAGTCAGCCTCAGAAGATGTACATTTGTCCTCTATACAAGACCAGCGAAAGGAAAGGCACGCTGTCCACCACAGGCCACTCCACCAATTTTGTCATTTCCATGACGCTGCCCACCAACAAGCGCCCACAGCACTGGATCAAGCGTGGTGTTGCCATGCTCTGCCAGCTTGATGACTGAGATCAGTCAGCACATTGCTTTAAGAATCAAATGCTTTACTGCAGCTATTCTCAATCCTGCTTGGATTAGTTTAAATTTAGTGTTGCTTAATACATTAATAAACACAATGTCTATGGCTGATGTGGAGATCTTAATGTAATATAATGTTGGTATTTTCAATTCACAACTTTGTCCATTAATTACTTACAAAATAAAAAAGCTACTGTGCTTTCACCAGAAATGTTACAGTGAAAGATTTAGCGCATCAGATGTGCTGTTTTCTTTTTTTGAACAGAAAGACATGGAAACAGGTACGCCTCAGTGCTCAGCTGGTGCTGTGTGAGTCCTGATGGAAAAACCTGTCAAAAATTAATTGCAAACACACTGGTTTCAAAATATTTGGCTCACATTTTAAAAATATATTTCATGTAGGTTCTTATTTTACTTAATACAACGTTTGACTGCAGTACACAAGAATAAGCCAAGAACATTGCAAACATTCTTTGAACACTTAAAGGATAGTTACACCTATACGGTATATCATTGCAGTTATACCTTTACAGTTTTTACATTTAGCCATGTGTCTCCTTGGAGTGACTTTTTTCATGTGCTGTAATACTAAGGTGGACACAAGCCCAATAAAATGATCACTCTAAAGATAAAAACATGGATTATACTTAGAAAACCTACTGACGGAGAGCCTCAGCTTCCAAACTAGTTTTGCTGTCTAGACTGATATCTTATTATAAACCTTTTGTCCTTTTTCTCGCTGCTCATTTGCCTTCTTAGTAACCTGAAGCAGCAATAACAAGTAGAAAATAAAAGTATTTTAGGGTGAATCAAAAGAGATTAAATATAATTGAATTTAGCAGTGTGCTATGCACAAAGAAAACAATCTTGTTAAATCTGAAAAATTATATTTTACATATTTTATGGAGGGGGTGAACTTCCAAAGTGAACCAACTGTTGGTTTGTGTTTGAATATTAGATTTTGCATTATGAATACGATTGCTTATGAGTTGAATGATGGCAGTTGTTGCAGTTGCTTAGTGGGTCAAACTAGAAACTGGCTGTGAAGACCTTGTGATCTGATATTTATAGTGTGTGTGTGTGTGTGTGTGTGTGTGTGTGTGTGTGTGTGTGTGTGTGTGTGTGTGTG